ATCTAAATCAAGATCTTCCATCCACACTTTAAGCAAAGATGAGCGAACCCCCCTGCTGGGCTACTGCATTCTGACAGCCAGTGCCTGTCAGAACACCCAATCCAGTCTGATTGGATGCAGCCGCTGTTCAACTGACCATTTTCCAACAGGCCCCTGCAATTTTTCAATCAAAGCATTTTGGATGGGAAGGTGTAAACAGGACTGCCAGCTAAGCGAAGTTTGATTGGTTCATCATGAACCAGCCAAATTTCACACAATCTATGGCCAGCTCCATACTGGAGTTTAATTTCAAATTATTCAAATCAATAGATTATTTTGGAAAACGACATAATTTGTAATTACAAGCAATAAATGCACCCACATCAAAATATACTTGTTATATTGTGACCAAACATTTGTAATATAGCACATATGGCACCATAGCTTTGCTTTGGATTTTGTTGCAACATAGTTAGACTGGTGTTGGTTTAAGGCTGATTCAAGATTGTAAACCTAGACACTCAAATAAACACATAGTTAGACCTCATGCAGTAAGGTAAGTGCTAATTTATTTAACAAAGTAAGTTGTCTCTACTCTGAACCATCAAGCACCAATGCAAATGTAAGTGATGCCTCTTCTCATAGAACCTTAAATTTTGACTGTGCCTAAAAGAAAAACAAGTTACTAGCTAGGTTATAGGTTAGAGAGGGAAAACAGAAGCAATGAGCATTAACAGAGGCTAGTAAGTGTAGGAGCTTGGAAACAGACAGAACAAAATTGCTTTCAACTCCCCCCTTTCTTTCACACAATTTTTGTAAAAACACTACTTACAGGCCAGGTACTGCAGCATTGTCCGGTGGTTCTGGGAAAACAGTCATGGAGGCACTCTATTATCTCCCATTATCACCTACTGCCGCTGTTCATATAAAGTTTATTTCAACAAAATAAAACATTCTAAACTACAAAATTACCTATTTTGAGTTATCTTTATTAAAACATAGACTCACGTACATATATTTAAATTTTTAGGGGGGGACTTAGGAATAATAAGGAAATATAATGTATATATAATAATATGTGTTAATCAAACCCACCAAATGCTTTATTTACTTACAATTGAAAAATAGTACACACACACACATTTACACATATATATATATATATATATATATGTATGTGTCAGGGGCGGACTGACCATTTGGAGGGCCCTGGGTCAGTACGGGGCCCCATGAGATGCCCCTGGTACACTTTTCATAGGCTTTTTTGAGTTTGGGCAAGGACACAGGGGCCCCATGATCCTCTATTGCCCGGGGGCCCCATGAGTTGTCAGTCCACCCCTGGTATGATAATATATATATATATATATATATCCACAGTATACATACAGTGAATGAAATAAGTATTTGATCCCCTGCTGATTCTGAATGTTCGCCCACTAAAAATCGATTGGTAGGTGTATTGTAACACTGAGAGACAAAACAGCAAATTCAAAAGAAATGCATGTCTAACAAATTATGCACTGATTTGCATGTTCATGAGGGAAATAAGTATTTGATCCCCTTCACAAAACATTAATTAGTACTTGGTGGCAAATCCCTTGTTGGCAATCACAGATGCCAGACGTTTCCTGTAGTTGGCCACCAGGTTTTCACAGATCCTCTCCAAGTCATTAAGGTTTGGTGGCTGATGTTTGGCAACTCAAACTTTAAGCTCCCTCCACAGATTTTCAATTGGATTAAGGTCTGGAGACTGGCTAGGCCACTCCAGGACCTTAATGTGGTTCTTCTTGAGCCACTCCTTTGTTGCCTTGACCGTGTGTTTTAGGTCATTGTCATGCTGATACACCCATCTACGACCCATTTTCAATGCCCTGGCTGAGGGAAGAAGGTTCTCACCCAAGATTTAATGGTGCATTGCCCCGTCCACCGTCTTTTTGATGCAGTGCAGTTGTCCTGTCCCCTTAGCAGAAAAAAACCCCCAAAGCAGAATGTTTCCACCACCATGTTTGACAGTTGGGATGGTGTTCTTAGGGTCATAGGCAGCATTCCTCCACCTCCAAACACGATGAGTTGAGTTGAGTTGATGCCAAAGAGCTCGATTTTGGTCTCATCTGACCACAACACTTTCAACTAGTCCTCCTCTGCATCATTCAGATGTTCGATGGCAAACTTCAGATGGGCCTAGACATGTGCTTTCTTGAGCAGAGGGACCTTGCGGGCACTGCAGGATTTCAATCCTAGTCGATGTAGTGTGTTACCAATTGTTTCTTGGTGACTGTGGTCCCAGCTGCCTGGAGATCATTGACAAGATCCTCACGTGTAGTTCTGGGATGATTCCTCACTGTTCTCATGATCATTGACACTCTATGAGGTGAGATCTTGCATGGTGCAAAAGACCTAGGGAGACTGACAGTTGTTTTGTCTTTCTTCCATTTGCGAATGATTGCACTAACTGTTGTCACCTTCTCAAAGAAGCTGCTTGGCGATAGTTTTGTAGCCCAGTCCAGCCTTGTGTAGGTCTACAATCTTGTCCCTGACCATTTGGAGGGCCCTGGGTCAGTACGGGGCCCCATGAGATGCCCCTGGTACACTTTTCATAGGCTTTTTTGAGTTTGGGCAAGGACACAGGGGCCCCATGATCCTCTATTGCCCGGGGGCCCCATGAGTTGTCAGTCCACCCCTGGTATGATAATATATATATATATATATATCCACAGTATACATACAGTGAATGAAATAAGTATTTGATCCCCTGCTGATTCTGAATGTTCGCCCACTAAAAATCGATTGGTAGGTGTATTGTAACACTGAGAGACAAAACAGCAAATTCAAAAGAAATGCATGTCTAACAAATTATGCACTGATTTGCATGTTCATGAGGGAAATAAGTATTTGATCCCCTTCACAAAACATTAATTAGTACTTGGTGGCAAATCCCTTGTTGGCAATCACAGATGCCAGACGTTTCCTGTAGTTGGCCACCAGGTTTTCACAGATCCTCTCCAAGTCATTAAGGTTTGGTGGCTGATGTTTGGCAACTCAAACTTTAAGCTCCCTCCACAGATTTTCAATTGGATTAAGGTCTGGAGACTGGCTAGGCCACTCCAGGACCTTAATGTGGTTCTTCTTGAGCCACTCCTTTGTTGCCTTGACCGTGTGTTTTAGGTCATTGTCATGCTGATACACCCATCTACGACCCATTTTCAATGCCCTGGCTGAGGGAAGAAGGTTCTCACCCAAGATTTAATGGTGCATTGCCCCGTCCACCGTCTTTTTGATGCAGTGCAGTTGTCCTGTCCCCTTAGCAGAAAAAAACCCCCAAAGCAGAATGTTTCCACCACCATGTTTGACAGTTGGGATGGTGTTCTTAGGGTCATAGGCAGCATTCCTCCACCTCCAAACACGATGAGTTGAGTTGAGTTGATGCCAAAGAGCTCGATTTTGGTCTCATCTGACCACAACACTTTCAACTAGTCCTCCTCTGCATCATTCAGATGTTCGATGGCAAACTTCAGATGGGCCTAGACATGTGCTTTCTTGAGCAGAGGGACCTTGCGGGCACTGCAGGATTTCAATCCTAGTCGATGTAGTGTGTTACCAATTGTTTCTTGGTGACTGTGGTCCCAGCTGCCTGGAGATCATTGACAAGATCCTCACGTGTAGTTCTGGGATGATTCCTCACTGTTCTCATGATCATTGACACTCTATGAGGTGAGATCTTGCATGGTGCAAAAGACCTAGGGAGACTGACAGTTGTTTTGTCTTTCTTCCATTTGCGAATGATTGCACTAACTGTTGTCACCTTCTCAAAGAAGCTGCTTGGCGATAGTTTTGTAGCCCAGTCCAGCCTTGTGTAGGTCTACAATCTTGTCCCTGACATCCATGGACAGCTCTTTGGTCTTTGCCATGGTGGAGAGTTTGGAATATGATTGTTTGAGTGCTCCTGTGGACAGGTGTCTTTTATACAGGTAACAAAATGAGATTAGCAGCACTCCCTTTAAGAGACTGCTTCTAATCTCAGCTTGTTACCTGTATGAAAGACACCTGGTAGCCAGAAATCCTGCTGAATGATAGGGGATCAAATACTTATTTCCCTCATGAACATGCAAACCAGTGCATAATTTGTTAGACATGCATTTCTTTTGAATTTTTTGTTGCTATTCTGTCTCTCAGCGTTACAAAGCACCTACCATTCCATTTTTAGACTGATCATTTCTTTGTGAGTGGGCAAACATTCAAAATCAACAGGGAAGCAAATACTTATTTCCTTCACTGTATATATATATATATATATATATATATATATATATACACACAGGTGAAACTCGAAAAATTAGAATATCGTGCATAAGTTCATTTATTTCAGTAAGGCAACTTAAAAGGTGAAACTAATATATGAGATAGACACATTACATGCAAAGCAAGATAGTTCAAGCCGTGATTTGTCATAATTGTGATGATTATGGCTTACAGCTCTTGAAAACTCCAAATCCACAATCTCAGAAAATTAGAATATTGTGAAAAGGTGCAATATTCTAGGCTCAAAGTGTCCCACTCTAATCAGCTAATTAAGCCATAACACCTGCAAAGGGTTCCTGAGTCTTTAACCACCTCCCGCCCGCCATATAGTCCAATGACGGGCGCAAGGTGGTTCCCTCGTTCTGAGAGGACGTCATATGACGTCCTCCCATTCTCACCATGCATGCGCAGCTCAGGGAGCGCGCAGCGCGGCGATCGGCAGTGCGCTGTGTCCCTCCGACACAGCGGATCACCGATCACGGAAAGTGCCGAAGATGGCGGCTCGGTCATGTGATCAGCTGTGTCCAATCACAGCTGATCACATGTAAACAGGGAAATTATTATTATTATTATACAGTATTTATATAGCGCTAAAAGGTTTGCTCAGCACTGTACATTATAGTGAGGGACAGAACATGAGACAATATAGTAACAAAAGAAAACACAAGGGATTTAAGGGCCCTGCTCTTTCGAGCTTACAATCTAGGATCGGCATTTCCCTCCTCTCGAGCTGTCACGCTGACAGCTCGAGAGGAGAGGAGAGCCGGTAATCGGCTTCCCGCAGAGGGGACGTGTACACTGATCATCAGGGCACTGATGATCAGTGTGCCCTGATGATCAGTGTAGCCCCAACAGTGCCAGCTGTCAGTGCCGATCAGTGCCACATCAATGCCACATATCAGTGCATACCAGTGCACATCAATGCCACATATCAGTGCCCATGTGAGCTGCCTTTCAGTGTCATCCATCAGTGCCAGTCAGTGCCACCTATCAATGCCTATCAGTGCTGCCAATCAGTGCCACCTATCAGTGTCCGTCAGTGCCGCTTATCAGCGCCAGTCAGTGCCGCCTATCAGTGTGCATCAGTGCCACCTATCAGTGTCAGTCAGTGCCGCCTAACAGTGCCAGTCAGTGCCACCTAACAGTGCCATATATCAGTACCATATATCAGTGCCATGTATCAGTGCTGCCTTTCAGTGCCCATTAGTGATGCCTGTCAATGCCCATCAGTGCCACCTACCAGTGCCTCCTCATCAGTGCCCATCAGTGCCACCTATCAGTGTCCATCAGTGCAGCCTATCAGTGCCCATCACTGCAGCCTCATTAGCGCACATCAGTGAAGGAGAAAAATCACTTATTTACAAAATTTTATAACAAAAACTAAGAAAAAACATTTTTTTTCTAAATATTCAGTGGTTTTTGGTTTGTTTAAGAAAAAATAAAAAACCCTGAGGTGATTAAATACCACCAAAAGAAAGTTCTATCTGTCACAAAAAAATGATAAAAATTTTATATGGGTACAGTGTTGCATGACCGCGCAATTGTCATTCAAAGTGCGACAGCGCTGAAAGCTGGAAATTGTCCTGGGCAGGAAGGGGATATAAGTGCCCAGTGGTTAAATGGTCTCTCAGTCTGGTTCAGTAGTAATCACAATCATGGTAAAGACTGCTGACCTGACAGTTGTGCAGAAAACCATCATTGACACCCTCCATAAGGAGGGAAAGCCTCAAAAGGTAATTGCAAAAGAAGGTGGATGTTCCCAAAGTGCTGTATCAAAGCACATTAATAGAAAGTTATATGGAAGGGAAAAGTGTGGAAGAAAAAGGTGCACAAGCAGCAGGGATGACCGCAGCCTGGAGAAGATTGTCAGGAAAAGGCCATTCAAAAGTGTTAGGGACTTTCACAAGGAGTGGACTGAGGCTGGAGTCAGTGCATCAAGAGCCACCACACACAGACAAATCTTGGACATGGGCTTCAAATGTCGTATTCCTCTTGTCAAGCCACTCCTAAACAACCAACAACGTGAGAAGCGTCTTATCTGGGCTAAAGAAAAACAGACCTGGTCTGTTGCTCAGTGGTCCAAAGTCCTCTTTTCTGATGAGAGCAACTTTTGCATCTCATTTGGAAACCAAGGACCCAGAGTATGGAGGGAAAAATTGAGAGGCACACACTGCAAGATGCTTGAAGTCCAGTGTGAAGTTTCCACAGTCTGTGTTGATTTGGGGAGCCATGTCATCTGCTGGTGCTGGTCCACTGTGCTTCATTAAGTCCAGGGTCAAAGATAAATCATTTCAGAACTTTTTCCACCTGTAATGTGACCTATAAACTGTACAGCACTCAAGTCTTTTTGGGTATGAGTCTATCTGCTTGGCTCATCTTGACTTGGCAAAATTTTCCCACTCTTCCTTGCAAAAACACTCCAAATCTGTCAGATTGCGAGGACATCTCGCAGCCTTCTTTAGATCACCCCACAGATTTTCGATCGGATTCAGGTCTAGGCTCTGGCTGGGCCATTCTAAAACTTTAATCGTCTTCTGGTGAGGCCATTCCTTTGTTGATTAGGATGTATGCTTTGGGTCATTGTCATACTTAAAGATGAAGTGCCTCTTCATGTTTAGCTTTCTAGCAGAAGCCTAAAGGTTTTGTGGCAATATTATATATCGACCGCTCCTGGAGGACGTCGAATGGCGAAACGCGTAGGGAGGAGCTTTGGATGTGATGTCACTACGTACGGGTAAGCCTCCAGTGTTCGCTGATCCATTTGGTTTACATATGCTGTTACTGCTGGTGTCGGCTATGATACTTTGTGAGTACGGTTTATGCTTTTTAAATAAAAAATTATTTTAATGGTTTTACGCTATGAAGGTTCCTCTTCTCTTCCTTTCACATGGTATACATATGTATGAGGATTTATCCATAGAGGTGTGGAGACTGTCAGCATTCCTGCAGATCATTGCTCCCAGAGCCACTGCTTATTAGTTGGTTTATAATATTACCAGCATAGAGCTCTGAGGTGCCATGTTGAACTTCTGGTGACCAGTATGAGAGAGTGAGAGCGATAACACCAAATTTAACACACCTGCTCCCCATTCACCTGAGACCTTGTAACACTAACAAGTCACATGACACCAGGGAGGGAAAATGGCTAATTGGGCCCAATTTGGACATTTTCACTTCAGGGGTGGACTCATTTTTGTAGTCAGTGGTTTAGACATTAATGGCTGTGTGTTGAGTTATTTTGAGGGGACAGCAAATTTACACTGTTAGACAAGCTGTACACTCACTACTTTACATTGTAGCAAAGTGTCATTTCTTCAGTGTTGTCACATGAAAAGATAGAATCAAATATTTACAAAAATGTGAGGGTGTGAGATACTGTATGATATGGATGTGATGATATTGAAGATAATTGTTCTCATTTGTTATAATATATAATTTTGTATGTTTTCTTTTGACACGGTAAGATTATAGTAAGGAGAGATGGTCTGGTTTTTAATGTGATATTATTCACATCTCGAGAAGCGCTTGTCTAAACATATTTTCACTTTGTGCCAATATTGACTGGTATTTGGAACTGTTTGTAATTCCCTCTACCTTGACTAACGCCCCAGGTCCAGCTGAAGAAAAATAGCCTCAAAGCATGATGCTGCCACCACCATGCTTCACTGTGGGTATGGTGTTCTTTTGGTGATGTGCAGTGTTGTTTTTGCGCCAAACATATCTTTTGGAATTATGGCCAAAAAGTTCAACCTTGGTTTCATCAGACATTTTCCCACATGCTTTTGGGAGACTTCAGATGTGTTTTTGCAAAATTTAGCCGGGCTTGGATGTTTTTCTTCGTAAGAAAAGACTTCCATCTTGCCACTCTTCCCCATAGCGGCAGAGGCCAGACATATGAAGAATACGGGAGATTGTTGTCACGTGCACCATACAGCCAGTATTTGCCAGATATTCCTGCAGCTCTTTTAATGTTGCTGTAGGCCTCTTGGCAGCCTCCCAGACCAGTTTATTCTCGTCTTTTCATCAATTTTGGAGGGCCGTCTAGTTCTTGGTAATGTCACTGTTGCTCCATTTTTTCTCCACTTGATGATGACTGTCTTCACTGTGTTCCATGGTATATCTAATGCCTTGGAAATTATTTTGTACCCTTCTCCTGACTGATATCTTTTAACAATGAGATCCCTCTGATGCTTTGGAAGCTCTCTGTGGACCATGGCTTTTGCTGTAGGATGTGACTAAGAAAATGTCAGGAAAGACCTACTAGAACAGCTGAACTTTATTTGGGGTTAATCAGAGGCCCTTTAAATGATGGCAGTTGCGCACTGACTCCTATTTAACATGATTTGGAATGTGATTGCTTAATTCTGAACATAGCTTCATCCCCAGTTATAAGAGGGTGTGCACACTTATGCAACCACATTATTTTTGTTTTTTAAGTTTACTTCCACCTCCTAAAACATTTCAGTTTGTTTTTCAATTGAGTTGTACAGTTTATAAGTCACATTAAAGGTGGAAAAAGTTCTGAAATTATTCTTTTCCTTTTTTTTTACATCACAGAAACCTGACATTTTAACAGGGGTGTGTAGACTCTTTTGGGGTTTATTTACTAAAGCTGGAGAGTCCAAAATCAGACTCCCTTCTGCATAGAAACCAATCAGCTTCCAGGTTTCATTGCCAAAGCTTCATTGAACAAGCTGAGGTTAGAAGCTGATTGGTTTCTATGCAGAAGGGAGTCTGATTTTGGACTCTCCAGCTTTAGTAAATAAACCCCTTTATGTCCATTGTATATATATATATATATATATATACATACACACACCCTATATTGCCAAAAGTATTGGGATGCCTGCCTTTACATACACATGGACTTTAATGGCATCCCAGTCGTAGTCCGTAGGATTAAATATTGTGTTGGCCCACCCTTCACAGCTATAACAGCTGCAACTCTTCTGGGAAGGCTGTCCACAAGGTTTAGGAGTGTGTCTATGGGAACGTTTGATCATTCTTCCAGAAGCGCATTTGTGAGGTCAGGCACTAATGTCAGATGAAAAGACCTGCTCACAGTCTCTGCTCTAATTCATCCCAAAGGTGTTCTATCGGGTTGAGGTCAGGACATTTTGTAACAGGAAGGGGTCATCTCTAAATTGTGCAGGCCAGTCAAGTTCCTCCACTCCAAACTTGCTCATCCGTGTCTTTATGGACCTTGCTTTGTGCACTGGTGCGCAGTAATGTTGGAATAGGAAGGGGTCATCCCCAAACTGGTCCAACAAAGTTGGGAGCATGAAATTGTCCAAAATGTACAAATGGAGATATGTGTATATAAAATGTACCTTTACAATGGCATTCATCTTCCTTTTGCAAAAAGTTGAGTGTGGCATGGTGGCAGTGTGGAACCACATCTGGTCTGCACTTGGTAACATCACACATTCAGGTGTGGGGAGCTGTTACTGCTTAAGGCAAAGGGTTTTCATACATAATTTTTCTCTCTTCTTTCCAACCAACTTCATAGCAAACCTCTTAACTTGGTTAACAACATCACCTTGTTTTTTTCCTGTATTACTGTAACTGGGAATCTGTCATGTAGCAGTAGTGATTAAGAACAGATTGATGGTTGATGAGACTTCAAGATTAATGTAGATTGCATCACTGGGTAAAGTGATTGACTATGAATTACAATAGGGGACATTGATAAATTGTTATTGGGTCTGTGCACTGTCTTTCAATTGAAGTACTTTGTCAAGGTGTTTATTTATATTTAACTCTTTGGGAATGTTTACGTAAATAAACTAATGCACCCCTGAACTAAGGGTGGCTATCTAGGGCCCTTTTATTATAAAGGGTGCCTCCATACTCCACTATAAGCCACCTTACAAACCCCAAATCCTTTTTGGGAGACTGGATGTCAGGGTGGATAAAAATCAATGATTTTTTTTAAAAAAAAAAAAAATCGGATTTTTTTTATTTAAATCTGATTTTTTTTATTTAAATCAGATTTTTTTTTAATAAAATGCTTTTTGAGGAAAATATATTTCCATCCAAAGGTTATTCCATCATGAAATAAAGATTAGTTTTTTAATTATGTAGAATAAGGCTGTATATGTTTAAATTTTTTGGTAAATAAATTCCATTAATCCATTCACAATGTCATGCTCTTCCAGAGGTTTTTGTAAGATTATTGGGCAGTTTCTCTGCCTACA